GTTAGCATGAGGCTAGTGCTGGTGTTGTGCAATAGTCAGGCTGTGGGAAACATGGACGCACTTTTGTAATGGTGGAACCTTTGTACATGAAGGCACCTGTATATGTTGCAAAGGTTCTAGTCACCAAAGGCAGACAAAACCGAGAGAGTCGTCTTTATTTTCTATTTATTCAACCTTTATTTAAACAGATAAATCACATTGAGTCTCAATGACTCATTTACAAGTGAGACCTGTTTGGACAGACAACAAAAAAAGTGGTAAACTGGACACATGAAGGAAGTGGAGGCGAAACAATTCCTATCAGACTTTTTTTTTCCTGCCTGAGAAAAAAAAACTCTAATATTAAAAAATACCTCGCACAAACAAGCACATATTTACATAGACATTCTGCAGAGGGGGGAGGCGAGAGCGGTCAGTATATGTTCATATATGCTCTCAAGGGCACTGTAAGAGTTCTGATAAGGATGGAATAATCAGTCAATGTCCTCTGGTGAGATCCATAAACATTCTCGAGGTATGTTGCGGAATGGCCAAGAATAACGTCTATGAGAATCCAAGAGTCCTGAAACGATAACACAAGTTTATTCAGCTGGATTCATCTGGTTATCAGTTGGAAATTCCTCAGGGAGGGGGTGATGAGCGTCAGATCACATTTTCTCCAGGCGAATTCAGATAAGATGACCTTCAAGGCCAGCCAAAGGAGCCAAATTCAGATAAACACACAGTTATTTTGGGGACAGGCAGAACTTAGTGACATCTACCTTGAGTCTGTGTTGTTCGACTCGTTTCTGAAATGTCCAAATTACATGGCCACATTGATGGAACGTGACTGAGTAAAATCCCCAAGATCTGATCCATTCTGTCCAAAGCATTTGAGTCCGGGTACTCAAGACACGAACCAAGCCATCATAAAGGCAAGCAGCGTGTTTGGGTCTAAATTTGCTGCCAACGACTTCCTTGATTGATTGATAAAACCAGCAACCAGCCAAATCCAAAAAGCAGGAACCAGTTATCGAAAATCCAATTAAATGTGCATCCTTAAAATCCACAAATGGCAGCAGAGATAGACACATCATCAAGTCTTCCAAGTCGATGAGATATCCAGCTGCATGTGTGCCAACAGGGCAAATCGGCTCACCTAAAGCCTGTCTTCTCTTCAAAGAAATGTTGTCAATTGAGTTGAGGGACCAACTGATCAAAACAAGCCCATAATTATGGTTTGGAAGATATGCAAGAGAGTCTCACAAGCAGTTTCACAGACAGACAGAGTAGCAAAGCAAAGTGGAGAGGGAGGGGAGAAGCATCCGATCTTGGCAAGAGCAAGTGGTGAAGTCATTGTGCATCTGGAATTACAGAATCCCATGACTTCTATCACTGGACAAAGATATTGGGCTCTTTACAACTCCTTGTGTCATTCTGTATCATGTTTGAAAGCCTGGCAGCAGCCGGACTATGGCTTACTGTCTCATGTGTTGGCTGCCATCAACACCAGAACACAAATGACTGCTTTTGGAGTTGTTATAACTGGAAGGCATCACCTCATGAAGAGAACTGAAGCACATTCATTGATGAGTCTTGGTTCTGCATTATGTTGCGTCGGGACGTGTGCTGGCTGCGAGTCACCGGGCACCCAGAGGCACCCTCTCAGACCCAGGACCCACCTCCAGCCCACGTTGCTTCCCCCGGCTCACATCTCCCTAAGAAGTGGCAACCCACAATATCAATAAATCAAGGAAACTTCAATTAAGTTTGATCAATTATATTAAATCAAGGTAGGAAAAGTTTACAGTTTACAGCGCTGGTCGCTCCAGTTTATGACGCAGTCACAAACCCGGAAGAGCCCCGATGTCCCATGTCATTACTCATTTATTGGGTCCTAGACTCCTTCGCAGAAGGGGAGCTCAACCTGTCAATGTATGAGGGGGCGCAACTAAGTGTGATCTCAATGGATCTTACATGGACTGGCATGTAAAGAAATATGAGATGGTGCTTCAAGCCTTTCTACGTGATGTAGCAAGCAGAAATAAACTCTATTCCTTGATGGATATTGAATCCCAGGGAGACTGTTTTTAGAGTTGCTGGCCCAGTTTAACCCAGTCAGAACTGGGTCATAATTTCATTATAATCCCATCTCTGAGCAGATCAAAACCCCAGGACCAGTCTAGATAAAATATCTAACAACTCCCCCTTGTTCAAGGGGCCCTAAAAGGGTTCCTCGAATAAAAAACTCCCAGTTCAATACCGTCAGATATGCAAGTAATTGATCATTTGCCCTCTGGGTGAATGTAAACTACTCCAAATAGTTGGTGGGAGATGCCTACAGGCTATAGCGTGTGACCTGGCAGCCTCAGGTCAAATAAAATGTCAGAGCTGACGGCTAGCATGTGACCTGCCTCTCTCAGGTTGCTTGACTCAGCTTTCGACATCTGCCAATGACTTCAGCATCCCCCTGCTGTGGTGAATATGACATATAGAAATTTCTAACATAGTCTAAGTCAGGTTTCTAAATATGATTTAATGATTGCAGAAGGCATCCTAATGCAAGAAAGCGTTTTTATCTAATAGATGTTTATCAGTTTGTAGACACTAGGGCATTAACAGAGTACTCGAGTAATCTACACATCGATTGCTAGGACATCTATCGAGGTTAAAAATGTTACGTCGAGTATCCGTAGTGACGTCATATTATGTGACCACCGTATGACCGTAGGGGGCGGTGTTGCACTGTTGCAGGTCACAGAGTATGGTGTAACACCAGTTCCAATCCACCAAACCAGAACCAGTTTCGGTTTAAGTTTCGTTTTTGACGTGCTGCATGTTTCTTCACGTTTACAGTTTAATAATAATAACTAATAGTTTAGTTTTTCCTGTGACTTATTTGCAGTATGATAAATGGTAGGAGCATAATATACGCTCCCAATGTTTTGTTGGTCTTTTTTTTTTTTGTAAATAATTACCGTTTTTTGCGGTTTTATTTATTTATTTATTTTTGTATCTTGAGATCTATGACATCATCAAATACTCGAGTTCTACTCGGGTTTTATTATGTTAATGTCGAGTTTAAAAATTATATACTCTTTCAACCCCTAGTAGACACTGATTCTTCTCTTTTTGACTCCAAGGGCAGGCATGGTCCATTTTGTCCATCTAGAAAGGAAAAAGAAAAAAAAAATTCTGTGCTCCCTTCCCCTTCAATCATGCAGTACCCAATTTATTTGCACAGAGCACTGCCGGTACTTTTAGCCTGTCACAACAGAAAAAAATGTGTTTGTGTGAATAAAAAACGATTTAAACAATTAACGTGTTTTAACGTGCGTATTGTATGTAAATAACAGAAACTTCCAACTCCCCATGGTGATCTACTATAAAAATATTTCCAATTAACCAAAACATCAATTTTCCCATTCCATCACCCTTCAATTTAGTCCCAATTTAGATAGAAAAATGGCATAAGTTCACCCCCTGGAAAGTCTATATTATAAAACCCTGTTATATGAATTTATCAAAATCCTCTGGTCCCTCATCATGGTCATGGCACCAGCTGTTGCGTCGGGACGTGGGCTGGCTGTGGGTCACTGGTCACCCAGAGGCCCCCTCTTGGACCCAGGACCCACCTCCAGCCCACGTTGCTTCCCCCGGCTTGAATCTCTCTCAGAAGTGGCAACCCACAATATCAATAAATCAAGGAAACGTCAATTAAATTTTATCAGTTATATTAAATCAAGGCAGGAAAATGTTACAGTTTATAGTGCTGGCCTTTCCGGTTTATGACGCAATCACAAACTCGGAAAAGCCCAGATGTCCCGTGTCATTACTCATTTATAGGGTCCTAGACTCCTCCTTCGCAGAAGGGGAGCTCAACCTGTCCGTGTATGAGGGGGCGTGACTAAGTGTGATCTCAATGGATCTTACATGGACTGACGTGTAAGGAAATATGAGATGGTGCTTCAAGCCTTTCTACGTGATGTAGCAAGCAGAAATAAACTCTATTCCTTGACGGATATTGAATCCCAGGGAGACTCTTTTTAGGGTTGCTGGCCCAGTTTAACCCAGTCAGAACCGGGTAATAATTTCATTATAATCCCATCTCTGAACAGATCAAAACCCCAGGACCAGTCTAGATAAAATATCTACCAACTACCATGAATATATAATAATAATGGGTTATGTATTGTCATCATTGTATGTTCCCATATAATGGCGGAAATTGGATCGCTGCATTTAATCCATCCACCACCAGGTGGTGCAGTGGGCAGCTATTGAAAGCAACTGGGGAGCATTTTGGGGATGAGGTGTGCTGCTCATAGACACCATGAGATGTGTAATGACTAGGGATCGAACCTAGGACTTTTGGGTCCAGAGTTGGCTGCCCTGCATCTACATCATCTCGGGCCATGTGCGCATATGGTGGCACTGAGGGGAAAGGGCCAATCCTGATTATGTCATAGAGAGACACCAAAGTTACTTCTGGCATTGTGATGTGGACACCCACAAGATATGACTTAAAGTTGTCTTTAGTAGTGATTCAGGGATCCCTGAGTGCACAGCGCCACATCACTGATAGACTCGGACCACATCTTTTCCCCTCATTCATTATACTGGTACAGTCTTTCACTAACACAATGCCTGTTCACACATGTCACTTGTGTCTTTGAACTGTGCTATGCTGAAGTCCTCGTGGGGCCAAGCAGGTTTCCCTGTCTTTCTCCAATTGAACATGTGTAAGATCAGCTGTCAGGGTGTCAGTTCTGACCCATTGCCAATCTGCTGGACTTGTTGCTGGACTTACGATTGTTTAACTCCGTTTTATATGAATTAACTGCCTGTATCCAGGCCTAAGTGGGTGTTGCACCTTACTGCAGACTTCAATAGCCATTTGATTTAATACTGAAATAGTCACATGCAATTTAATTTAATTTCCAACACTCTTGGTGTTTTTTTTCAGTGATTGTAGGTGCCGTTCTTAATTTTCTGTTAACTAAATGTGTTTTCACCTGCAGTTTGATGGCAGCAGCCTGCGGCAGCTGATCAGTAAGATCTGCATGGGGCGCTACACACCTGTACCTATCCGCTACTCCCAAGACCTCCGCCAGCTAGTCACCCAACTCTTCAAGGTTCAAAACACTTGTATCATTGTTGTGTGCAGCACGAGTATGAGTTAACAAGTGAGCATACACAGCAGGTATGAACAAAATTTTGACTCAAATGTCATCATCAGTGCCAAAAATCAGGATTTGTCTCGTAATAACTCAGTGTTGTGAAGCCATTACGGTATTTGTATAGTTACTCAAGTATTGATTTACTTTACACTAAGCTTACAATACATTTCAAATTTCCAATTTGTGTCAGAAAAATATTTTGTTGTATACATCCAGATGGCTCCTCCTTGAATCGCCACCTTATCGTGGTGGAGGAGTTTGTGCGCTTGAATGATCCTAGGAGCTATGTTGTCATGTGGGGTCTCACAAGGCAGATTGGTCCTAGGTGACAGGCCAGACAAAGAGCGATTCAAAAGATTTTTATGGACAAAACAAAACAAGGAACTCAGTGTCCCAGGCCTGGATGTGGGTTACCGGGGCCTCACCCTGGAGCCAGGCCTGGGGGAGGGGCTCGTCGGCAAGCACCTGGTGACCGGGTCGCTGCCCATGGGGCTCCGTCGGGCTCAGCCCAAAGGAGCAGCATGGGTTTGCCTCCCTGTGGACCCACCACCTGCAGGAAGGGCCATAAAAGTCGGGTGCATGATGCTATGGGCAGTGGCCAAAGGCAGGGACCTTGGCGCTCTGACACTGGCTTACTAAATCTAGCTCTTAGGACATGGAATGTAACCTCTCTGGCAAGGAAGGAGCCTGAGCTTGTGCGCGAGGTTTAGAGGTACCGACTAGATATAGTTGGGCTCACCTCAACACACAGCATGGGCTCTGGAACTGATCTCTTTGAGAGAGGTTGGACCTTATTCCACTCTGGAGTGCCCATGGTGAGAGGTGTTGTGCTGGTGTGTGTCTACTTGTAGCCCCCTGACTTGGTGCCTGTGTGTTGGAGTTTTCCCCGGTAGATAAGAGGGTGGCTTCCCTTCGCCTTCAGGTGGGGGGACAGCCTCTGACTATTGTTTGTGCCTACGTGCCAAACTGCAGTTCAGAGTATCTGACCTTCTTGGAGTCTTTGGCAGGGGTGCTGGAAGGTGCTCCAGTTGGGGACTCCTTTATTCTGCTGGGGGACTTCAATGCCCACGTGGGTAATGACAGTGTGACATGGAGGGGCATGGTTGGGAGGAACGGTCTTTCTGATCTGAACCCGAGCGGTGTTCTGTTGTTGGACTTCTGTGCTAGTCCTAGTTTGTCCATCACGAACACCATGTTCAAACATAAGGGTGTCCATAAGTGCACTTGGCACCAGAATGCCCTAGGTCGTAAATTGATGATTGACTTCATAGTCGTGTCATCTGATTTGCAGCCGTTTGTTTTGGACACTTGGGTAAAGAAAGGAGCTAAGCTGTCAACTGATCACCACCTGGTATTGAGTTGGATCAGATGGCGGGGGAACATGCTGGACAGACCCGGTAGACCCAAACGTGTAGTGAGGGTTTGCTGGGAACATCTGGCAGAAGAACCCATCAGAGAGATCTTCAACTCACACCTCCGGGAAAGTTTTAACCGCATCCCAGCTGAGGTGGGGGACATTGAGTCTGAGTGGGCCATATTCTGCACCTCGCTTGTTGAGGTAGCTGCCTTGAGCTGCGGCCCAAGGTTGTCGGTGCTTCTCGTGGTGGTCATCCACAAACTTGGTGGTAGAAACCCTGGGTTAGGGAGGCTGTCAAGCTTAAGAAGGAGTCCTATCGGGCCTTGTTGGCCAGTGGGACTCTGGAGGCAGCTGAGGAGTACCGGAGGGCCAAGCGGTGTGCAGCCTTGGCTGTTGCTGAGGCAAAAGCTCGGATGTGGGAGAAGTTCAGTGAGACCTTGGAAAGAGACTCTCGGTCAGCTCCGAGGATATTCTGGCAAACCATCAGGTGGCCGAGGAGGGGAAAGTAGCACTTTACTAACACTGTGTTCAGTGAAGGTGGGGTGCTGTTGACCTCAACCAGTGATGTCATCGGGAGGTGGAAGGAATACTCCTCAGACCTTCTCAATCCCACTAGCACGTCTTCCATGGAGGAAGCTGAGTCGGAGGACTTTGGGGTTGATCTGTCCATAACTGTGGCTGAAGTCGCCAAGGTAGTTAAAAAGCTCTGAGGCGGCAGGGCTCAGGGAGTGGATGAAATTCACCCTGATTTCCTTAAGGCTCTGGATGTAGTGGGGTTGTCTTGGCTGACACGCCTTTGCAATGTTGCGTGGACATCGGGGGCAGTGCCACTGGACTGGCAGACAGGGGTAGTGGTTCCCCTCTTCAAAAAGGGGGACCGGAGGGTGTGCTCCAATTATAGGGGCATCACTCTCCTTAGTCTCCCTGGTAAGGGCTATTCAGGGGTAACCTCAGATCCAGGAGGAACAATGTGGGTTCTGTCCTGGCTGTGGAACACTGGATCAGCTCTTTACCCTCACTAGGGTCCTTGAGGGGTCATGGGAGTTTGCCCATCCAGTCTACATGTGTTTTGTGGACTTTGAGAAGGCATTCGACCGTGTTCCTTGGGGTACACTGTGGAGGGTACTCTGTGTGTATGGGATTGGAGGCCTGTTGTTACAGGCTGTTCGGTCCCTATATAAGCGGTGCGAGAGTTTGGTTTGCATTGCCGGCAATAAGTCGGACCCCTTCAGGGTGGGAGTTGGACTCTGCCAGGGCTGCCCGTTGTCACAGATTCTGTTCATAACTTTTATGGACAGAACTTCTTGGTGCAGCCAGCTGGCGGAGGGTTTCTGGTTCAGTGGCCTCAGGATTCCATCTCTGCTCTTTGCAGATGATGTGGTCCTATTGGCATCATCGTGCCATGATCTCCAGCTCTCACTGGAGCGGTTCGCAGCTGAGTGTGAAGCGGCTGGCATGAGAATCAGCACCTCCAAATCTGAGGCCATGGTCTTCAACCGGAAAAGGGTGGATTGCTCTCTTCAGGTCGAGGGTGAGGTTCTGCCTCAAGTGGAGGAGTTCAAGTATCTCGGGGTTTTGTTCACGAGTGAGGGAAGAATGGAGCGTGAGATTGACAGACGGATTGGTGCAGCATCTGCAGTATTGCGGACTCTGTACTGGTCTGTTGTGGAGAAGTGAGAGCTGAGCTGTAAGGTAAAACTCTCTGTTTACCGGTCGGTCTACGTTCCTACCCTCTCCTATGGTCATGAGCTCTGGGTAGTGACCGAAAGAATGAGATTGCGGATACTGGCGGTTGAAATGAGTTTTTTCTACAGGGTAGCTGGACTTTCCCTTAGAGATAGGGTGAGAAGTTCAGTTATTTGGGAGAGACTTGGAGTAGAACCACTACTACTCCACTTTGAGAGGAGCCAGTTGAGGTGGTTCAGGTATCTGGTAAGGATACCCCCTGGGCGCCTCCCTAGAGAGGTGTTTCGGGCATGTCCAACTGGGATGAGACCCCGGGGAAGACCCAGGACACGCTGGAGAGACTATGTCTCTCAGTTGGCCTGGGAACACCTTGGAATCCTCCCAGAAGAGCTGGAAGACATGACTGTGGAAAGAGATGTCTGGGCCTCTCTGCTCAAGCTGCTGCCCCTGCAACCCGACTTCGGAATAAGCGGAAGATAATGGATGGATGGACATCCAGATGGTAATTTGTTTATTGTTTTTACTATAAAACTAATAATACTTCACCATTTATACACTTACAATGTATAGATCTACTACAAATAATGACAATGGACAACTAGCAAAAATAGTACAGTAATTCAACCTGTCTAGTCTAGTCTAAGGTTTCTGGGTCACCCATAAGTTCAGTTTTACAGATTGTCTTTCTTTCATTTCTGAGGAGTTAACTGAACACCTGAGATTTCTGATGAGTTCACAGTGAGTGAGAAGGTCACAGAGGTTTTATAACCATGTTTAAGGCTTCACAAACAGTGAGTACCATTTTGTATCCGATCTATGGATCAAGGGACAGGCATTATGGGCTTATAGCTATTCTTTCTTGTGAAGACTTTGGCAGGAGCAGTTTGGATTAGTCCTAATTGAATTGTCCAAATATCAGAATGTCACAAACTGTTTTGACAGCTGTTGAAGATCTTAGCCTGATCTCCATGTAGGAAAGACTCTATTGTCCAGGCTGCAGTCAGCAGATCATTACCACTTTCTCTTTGACTCGCAAACATGTCTGTAGCAGCCATAATGAAACAAAATTCATTCATTCTTGCTAAATAAAAACATGAACTAAACAGAAAAACAGGAACCATCAAATCTCACCACAAAAATGAACCGCAACTTGTCTTTTGAAATTTCTTTCAACTTTAACTCGTGTGTATTTGTTTGAAAACTACATAAAAGTTTACACATTTATAAATATTCTCCTTTAAATAATGGTATTGACTAGAGATATAAACAAGTTAAAATCCTTATCAACTATTTTATGAACATTAAAATGTAAAGTGGAGGTATCTCATGTAACAAGTGATTGTTTTTCATCTTGTGAAGGTCTTAAAAAAGTAGAATTTGGAAAATTAGAATAAACAGTTAGTAAATCTAAAGAAATTAGAACTTTTTAATAAACTTCCCAGACCTTTAACTTGGTCTAACTGTTGTGTAACCAATAGTTTGAAAACTAACATGCTACATTTGGGGTAGTTACATGATTTTCCATGTTCTGCCTGATTATCTGTTGTTTGTATAAGAATAAAAGCAGATGCTAAACACTGATCACATCGTTATATGGTGTGAACACACACAAACTGTGTTTTTTAGGTTAGCCCTCGTGACCGTCCCTCAGTCAGCTCAGTCCTGCGACGTTCCTTCTTGGAGAAACACATCAGCAAACATCTGAACTCTCAGGTAATGACTCTGATTGGTTCACTGATCAATTCAACAAACCTTGGAATATACGTTGATGCTGCTATTATTTGAAAAGATTACCAAGAAGGTTGAGTTTAATGGTAACTT